TATATGATAGAAAGGAGTGTATTTATTATTATTCTTTTTAATCTCATCTCATCTCATCTTATTTTATTTATTTTATTTTTTGTTGCTTTGAGAATTGTAGTTACAGGTCAAGAGCCAACCTCTCTGTTTTTCAAAAAGAACAGATTTCCTGGACATACAAATATACTGTATTCCCATTTCACTCTCTTGAAAAATTCCTATCATTTAACCTCATCGCCCTTTACCCCTCCCATCTAAACATACACACACCACACATCTACAAACAGAGGTTTCAACAGAAAGGTACTTCACCTCCAACCACTGGCTATTTCATGATCAAATGGAAAATCATCGATATTAAACTAGTGCAAAACACACCTATTTTGTCAAGACAGCCTTGAAAATTACTGAATCCTCTGCACCAATAAGCCAAAACTATGCAAATTATTATCCTCAGTTTCAATCAATAATACATTCAAATGAAGCAAGAAATGATACTCAAGGGACAGACTTCCTTCCTTTACACATACCTCTTTCTTATTTGGTAGAAACCAACAAATAAGACCAGCAAGACAACCAATAGCAACACCAAGAAGGAGTTCTAAGGGTCCTCTGAATATATTAAAGTACAGATTGCCTGAAAACATAAGTATAAAGATTTATGTAATGTCTTTTCCTAAAACTTTGCAAAATATTTTTAAGGAAAAACAAAGCCCATATTAAATTGACTGGGGATTAAAGATCTGTATGCTATTGTACCAGGCTTAAATTAATGTCATCAAGGACAATATCTTGCCGGAATTAGAACTTTGACCAGTAATTAACTTTGAGCCATAAACAAGGTATGATAGAGCTAAAACTAATTTTGCCAGTCATCATGACTGGCAACTGACCAACTGCTATTTTAAGCCCTGTAGTACCTTCTGAGAAAGCAATGCCAAGAAAGACTCCAAAAAGACTGATAGCCAACACGTCATCACAAGATGAAGCAGCCATGACAAGAGTAGGAATGCCTTGTTGGACTCCATAACCTTTTTCCTGGAGGACCAATAGCTGAGGGACAACCACAGCTGGAGATACTGCTCCAAGAACAAACCTTTGGATTAACAAGCTCACAATTATTACATACATGGAATTTTCTGCCTCCTGGATCCTTTGTAAACATAATATTGACTATATGTGTGTATGAGAATATATATGAAATATATATTTGTACTGCGGTTGTAATGTATCAAATTGAGCTGATCCTCGCAGTATATGAAGCAACTTATGTAGCTGCAAATTGAAAGACTCAGAAAAAATTCAGAGTCTTGAACGGGATTTGTTGACTCTTTTTGGACCAGGGTTTTACAGACATCACTCTACATTGTGATTGGTTAATTTTTTTTATTACCTTTTTACCCTAAAGAGGGGAGGATGAGGGCAATGATATTCATGGTGGGGGAGGGGGGGGGGGGTCCCTCGGTAAGAGTGGTCCCAGTAGTTGACTTTTCACACAGTAACATAGACTGATTGAATGAAAGTGTACTTACCCAAGTTGAAAACTCCAAAGCCATGGCATGCCAAGAAAATATCTGACCACAATTGCTACAGTAACAGCTTCAGCAATACAAGGTCCAAATGCAAGTCTGATACAAGTGAACTTGAGCTTTTTTAAAGCCACAGGATCTAGTTCAAGTCCAGACCTTATCAAAATCACAACAAGAGCAATACTTCTTAAAGTCGCTGACCATTGTTTATTTATGTGTTTAGCAACGTCGATGCCTGGGACGTTTCTCAAAAGAAATCCAACGATTAGCATCCCAAAAAGAGAAGGAAGCACAATATAAGGTATGTTTGAGATTAGAAACCCTCCTAAGGCAGAAAACACTAGGATAATAAATATACCAAAGAGATTGCCTCCAGGAAGTAGATCATCTCCAATCATTGTCCAAAGGATTGTCCATCCCACTGCGGCTATCAAAGTGCGAGTCAATGCTCGAGCTAAAAAACCAGATGGCGGGAGAGTAAATCCAAGTTTATGAGATCTTGACTCAAGATAAGAGTTATTTGTTACTGTTCCTTGGTTATTTTGATCTCCATCTTGTATTGCTGACGTATTTTCGGCCATTTTAAAAGCATTTTCATAAACCGTTCATATTTATTTTGCCGCCATTAAATTCTGAATCCGTCGGTGGAACCGGGGAACTGGCGCCGAACTGGCGCGCTACATTTCGGGAGTATCTCGGGCATTTGACAAGTTTTGTTCTCAGTTTTAACCAATTATTTATTCTGGATGCATAACATATTGATTTGATATTAAAATATTAGTCCTCATACAATTCTTTGCTATGAAAGTCTATGTTTTTCCTCCCGGTTCCAAACATAAAAATTATATTTGTTTGACGAGTAATTTCGAAAAATCTTCGGAAACAAATCGCAAAGTACTCGGCTCGATTGGAAAACCAGACAGAGAGCAGGGAGCAGGAGATCGACGTGCATCAAGGAGGCAAACAAGCTAAGTATGGATGCCATATCTCGTCTTATTAAAGTACAAATTCCAGGATACCTCCGTGGTCTTCCTATTCCTGGTTCAGTTGATGGGTTAGTGCAGCTATCTGGCAAGGAATGGGTACAGTTAGTTCCCGTTGTTGTTACTGCATCAGTGGTTGTCTATCTTGTTGTTAATGCCTTCTCACCCAAGAAGAAAGATATAGTCAATCCTGCTATAGAGAAGGACAAGGATAAGGTGGCTAGTGTTGTGGATATTGAAAATCTGGGTGACAAAGGTGTATTCTGCAGATGCTGGAGATCGAAGAAGGTACGTAAACATGGATCGCACGTGATTTTCAGATGTTGGATTTAAGATTATATAACCTTGCAGTAAATAAGCTTAATGCTCATGATCAAATGCGTGTTTGGTGGAGGAATTAAATGTTGGGATAAGATATTACTAATGTTTGCTCACGTGAAAGCTTTCAATAGTTTAGTTATCATCTAAATATATTATAAGTTCTTTAAAATGGTATGGAATTTGGAATTGGAATTGGAAAATGGAATTTTGGAAGCTGGATATTTTGCTTTACTATCACATAAAATATGTTGCTAAAATATCTTAATTTGTTTTGGCTGGGAGGAGGCGGGGGAGGTGAAGGGAGTACAGGGCTGTCAACTCTCCCAGATAAACCGGGAGTCTCCAGATTTTGGACCATATCTCCCAGTCTCCAGATTAGAGTCTCAAATGTCCTGGATTTATTGACAAAGCTGACCATTTCTTGTGAGACTCGACTTTCACAACCATAAAATTCCAATTATTTTGTGTTGTTTGTGTTATTTTACATCACTAACAAAATCAAAACATTGGTTGTATTGTCGTGTACGGGAATTGTCAGGGAATTCTATTCAAATTCAAATTTCAAGTAATCGGCTAGTAATCGTACCCTATGATAGCATGAATTAAACTATAATAAATATTTATGTGCACGTGCTGATGATACATCGTTTAAATATGACTAAAAAATGAGACCACCCAACCAAATTCACTTCGTGGTCTAGGGGTTAGGTTTAGGGTTGGGGTTGGCATTGTAGTAGTTCTTTGGTGCTGAAGGTACTGAGTTCGATTCTTGGTATCTTCACTTAATTTTTTTTCTAAGTGAGGAGAACCAAAATTTCTAAGTCCCACTCGTGTGTTCAGAAACCTATGACGTACTTTGTTAATCTGTACACGACGATAGTACCAAAACATTCCTCATAAACTGTTCTTGCAAGCAGGCCATTGTA